ACGAGAATGATTCGGCGCTGGCCGCTGCTTTTCTGCGGTGAGCGAAACGCGGTTCAGTCCACCTGTCTCTCTCGCACCTACAGAGATAAGCCCCACGAGCGCGAGAGAGACAGATCCCTCCCGCTCGGGTTCAGCCTGCAGGCTGATTCCGAGAGTCGTTTTCGTCGTTCTGTCTCTCTCGCACTCATGGGGCGCCCGGTATGGGTGCGAGAGAGACAGCGATGAAACCGACTCTCGGAATCAGCTTGCTGGGGGGTTAGCGAGGAGGGGCACGGCGGGGCAATCCGTCTCGACGACCGCGTCGCCATGGCAACCGGAAAATGCGAGTCTAGTAGAGGGAAAGCGAAGGAAAACGAGGGAAGGCGAAGGAAAGCAGCATGGAAAGCAGCGCGCCCCGCCTCGCCGAGCAGAATTCCCTGCGGCCCTTGAAGGGCCCAAGCAGCCTGGCCGGCGGGGCCCGCAGGGCCCCAAGGGAGCGGATGTACCACATTGGGTAATGAGGTAAAGGGACCGGAAATGGGGACCGAGGGACGACGCCGAAGGCCGCCCCGCCGCCGAGGCCCTCCACGGCGTCCTCGCTGCGTCCGCCCTCCACGGTGAACCGATGGTGAACTCGCGGTGAACTCGCGGTGAACTCGCGGTGAACCGACGGTGAACTCACGGTGAGCCGACCACCCACAGTGGGTCAGAAGACCGGTGGAGGTGGTCAATCTCAGACGCGTTTTGAGCTCCAGAGTCGCTAAATGGGACTGGAACCGAGCGTGTGACCCCACCAATGGATTTGCTCTCTGAACGAGGAATCCATTGGTGGGGTCACACGCTAGGTTCGAGTCCTGTGTAGCGACTCTGGAGCTCAAAACGCGTCTACAGTTTTGGCCGCCCCCGCCGGTCCTCTGGCGCACTGTGCGACGGTGAACCGGGCGTAAGTAACCTCGACCAGGACACTCACCCGCCGAAGTGTGTGTCTGTACCAAACTGGGGAGATTTGGCAACGTGGGGTCGGGACACTCACCTGAAAAGAAAGAGGAGGCAACCGTTAAGAACAAGTCCAAGCGAGAACTGTCATAAATTGGTTTGGAGCAGACAGCCTGCTGTACAAGCGTGCTCACACACACACACAAACACACAAACACACACACACACACACAAAAGCGCGCGCGCCGACGCGCGTACACACACACACAGAGACGCGCGTACACACGCGGCCGCCAGGGGGCAGTGGCCACGGCGGCGCCCGGGTTAAAATGGCCCAGGCTCGCGCGGTGCTGCGCGTCGAGTCAGAGTCTGGGTCTGGCCAGTGTGCCCCCAGGACTCGCCGTTGAATGGGCGGCCGATTATCTGGCGGGCGTAGTGGCCGTGTGGCGGCCCTGGACGACTTTCCCAGCAGTGTAGGCGTGATTTTGTCGCCGCCGTCCAGGGTCGCCCCCTCGGTTTCGAGGCTGTAAATGTGTTTATTGTGTTTATAGTTCCATAGTTTTTAGTCCTTAGTTTTAGCACCGAACGGCGGCCGATTCTTGGAGCTATTAAATAGCGCGCCGGCCGCCGTTCGAAAACAACCGCCCTTGTTCTGCGCCTGCACGTGCAGGGCCTCTCCGTCCCGAGGCCCCCGTCGAGCCCGTGCAGCCCCAGGGCAAGGGCACACTCGTCGTCAGCCCTCCAGCCCGTTCACACGTCGGAACGCCGGCTGGCTCCCGCGCCGCGCCGCGACCACCGCGACTCCCGCGCCGCGCTCAGTTTCTGTACCATAGTCACTTGTATCATAGTCACTTGTATCATAGTACAATAAATGTAAATTCTGTATATAAACATTTGCGTCTCGATCACTGTGCACAGCGGGCAACGTAGGAGCCCAACAATACCTACAAAGTGGTGACCCCGACGTGATCGTGAACTGTGTCCAGTGATAGTGACTCTCCGTGCCAGTGCGCTTGTGCTTTAGTGACTGAGTGCATCTGACATGTCTTCGCCAACGCCGGCGCCGCTGACCCCGCCGCCCGGGCCGTCGCCCGCTCTCCTGGTGCCCCGTTCGGGACGTCGCCGCGGCGCCCCTGCCGTCACACGAGGACCTGGCCGCCGCCCAGGCCGCCGACGCCGAGCTTCAGACTCTGCTGGCGGACACCTCGTCATCGTTCCTGAGCCTGTTCGCCGTGCCCGCGCCCGGCTCTGACACGACCGCCATCGCCATGTCCGACGTGGGCCCCGGCACGCGCCCCCGGCCCCACGTCCCGGTGCTGCTCGCTCCGCCGCTTCTCGACACACGGCACAACCTCAGTCACCCCGACGCCCGCGCCTCCGTCCGCCTCGTCCTCGACCGCTTTGTCTGGCCCTCAGTGCAGCGCAACTGCCGCACCTGGGTCCACGAGCGCCTGCTCTTCATACGCGCCAAGGTGACTCTGTTCGTTTCCCGCCCCGCCTGTCCACATGGACATCGACGGGCCGCTTCTTACTTCGCACCTGTCCACGTCGCCACCATGGGCCCCATCGCCGATGTCTCTGGGCTACCGCTACTCCCTCGACCTCTCCCGCGAGTGTCCCACCGGCCCGCGACGGTCCTGCAGAACGCCTGCGCCGTCCGCTGTCACCCGCCCTCACAGCCACGCCGACGCGCCGTGGCCTGAGGCTCTTCCGCCCGTCCTCCTTGATTTGTCCACGTTGCTGGACCGCCTCCGTCTCCATGCAGCCCGTGTCCGGCCCGTGCCCGTCTCGCGGCACTGCCAGCCTGGCACCTTCGTGTTCAAGGACCTCGCTACGGCGCCCTTCGTCTTCCTGCGGACTGACCTGGTGCGCCGCAGCCTCCAGCCCCCGTACACTGGCCCCTACGAAGTGCTCGCCCGCGACGACAAAACACTCACTTTGCGGGTGCGCGGCAAAGGGGTCCGTGTGTCCATCGACCGGGTGAAGCCGGCCTACGTGCAGGCCGACGCCGCCCCGCCCGCCTCCGGTTCGAGCCCCGACGCCGCAGTCCCTGGTTCGAGCCCGGCCGTCGCAGTCTCCGGTTCGAGCCCCGACGCCGCAGTCCCTGGTTCGGGCCCCGCTCCTGCTGGCCCGCCTGAAGCAGCCGCCCCCGCTCCCGAGGGTCTCTCCTCGGGCCCTTTTACGAGCCCTGCCGTCGCCGCCCCGCCACCCGCGGCCCTTGCTGCCGCTGGTCCCCTTCCGCGCCCCGCCCGGGACGCCCCGGGTCCGCCGCCGGACGACGCCCTGCCGGCGCAGCAGCGCCCCGCTGCTGCCGAGCCTGGGTCCAGCTCCACCGGCGACGACGCCGTCACCGCCCCCACGACGCGGTCGGGCCGCCGTGTCCGCTTCACAGACATTTTTCAAGCGGGCTTTCCCTAGCCTCCGTTCACTCCGGCTTCCCTTTCTCCGTGGGGGGGGCCTGTGGCGGCCCTGGACGACTTTCCCAGCAGTGTAGGCGTGATTTTGTCGCCGCCGTCCAGGGTCGCCCCTCGGTTTCGAGGCTGTAAATGTGTTTATTGTGTTTATAGTTCCATAGTTTTAGTCCTTAGTTTTAGCACCGAACGGCGGCCGATTCTTGGAGCTATTAAATAGCGCGCCGGCCGCCGTTCGAAAACAACGCCCTTTTTCTGCGCCTGCACGTGCAGGGCCTCTCCGTCCCGAGGCCCCCCTCGAGCCCGTGCAGCCCCAGGGCAAGGGCACACTCGTCGTCAGCCCTCCAGCCCGTTCACACGTCGGAACGCCGGCTGGCTCCCCCGCCGCGCCGCGACCACCGCGACTCCCGCGCCGCGCTCAGTTTCTGTACCATAGTCACTTGTATCATAGTCACTTGTATCATAGTACAATAAATGTAAATTCTGTATATAAACATTTGCGTCTCGATCACTGTGCACAGCGGGCAACGTAGGAGCCCAACAATACCTACAGCCGTGCGGAACCGCGCGGTTCAAAGTCCGAGGAGGCGAGGAACGGCCTCGGACTTTCAGTGGACGCGCCGCCGCGCCGCAGCATTGAACCCAGAGAGGCGGTCGGGCCGCTGGCAGCCACTGGCCACTCGTTCACCGGAACAGCAAGCGCTAATGGCGCACGGATGACGCAGGCCGGGCCGCGCTGACCCAATTGGCGACGCACGCCAGAGGAGGATAAGGAGCGCAAGTCCGACGGGGTGTCTCACGGTCTCACCGAGCGCCGCAATCAAGGCGCAACAACAACAAGACAAGGAGCCACTCCGGTATTTATCGGCTCCACTTCGCAAGGGGCGGCGGGCGCGCCAACAAAAACACTATCTGCGCCACGAGTCGCATTCCGCGGGCATCCCGAGGGGGCCGCCGTCGCCGTCATCCCAAATGCGCAGCCGGATTATTGGCTGGACCGATCGGGGCGCGGCGGGGCGAGGCGGCGGAAAACAAGAGGTTGGGACCCTGGCACCACCGCCTGCCAGTCCGCCGCCCGGCCCGCCCGGCCGGCACCCGTGGCGAGGCGGACGAGATCACGCCACAGGCCACAGCCCGCGGGCGCCCCCGCCCCACTGTAGTGTACTGCAGCCGCCACGCCGCGCCCCGCTGGGTCGCTGCATCAGCCGATGCCCGCGGTCGCTGCGCTGGTGTGAGTGTGTGCGAGCGTGTGTGTGAGAGTGTGACGTGGTGGACGCGGTCCCCACTACGTCGCCGCCACGCCGCGCCACGACGACCGCGGCCGCAGGCGGGCCAACCGGACGACGACGCGGCCGCGGCGCACGGGTACCAACCGACGGCCACCTCGGCGCGCGGCGCACGGCGGCGCACGGCGGCGCACGCAGGGCCCTGGGTACCGCGCGCGCCGCGAACCGCACGTCGCCGTCGATACGACGTTATCGGCGGCCGCGCCCCGCGGGGGCCGCGCCTCGCGGCCGCGGGTTGGCACTCCTGGCGCGCCGCGTCAACGCTTTATTTTTGGGCGGCAGCCAGCTGACGGCGGGCCGGCCTGCCTGCGGCGGCCGCTGGGACGTGGCGCGGCGCGCGGCCGACGGCGTGGCGAGGCGCGCTGCGGCCGCCGCGCTGCCTTCCGTCGCTAGAGCCGCAGCGCAGCGGCCCAGTCCGCGACAACGCGCCAGACGAACCAGTCACCATACCAGCAGGTACGGGTGCCGCGCCGCGAGCCGCGCCAGTGTGTGTGAGTGTGTGTGTGTGTGTGAGTGTGCCCGCGCGAGGAGCAAAGTGCGCCGCCATTTGAATCCGCGTTCCCTTGCCCTACAGGTGAGTTCGGGTCAGCCGGCGTCACGCCTCGCGGCCTTGCCTTACAGTGTGGTGGTACCCGCCAAGGACGCGGCGTCACGGCGGCGTCACGGCCCGCCCACCGCGCGCGTCCTCCACCGCCCTGCCACTCCGTGTCCACTCCGTCCAGTGCGCCGCGGTGGAGGCTGGCCCGGATTTCGTGGGCCCGTGTCTCTCTCGCACTCACGACGGGCCGTGCCGGAGCGGGTGCGAGAGAGACAGAGCGACGAAGGCACGGTTTACAGTGTCGCCCTGCAGGGCCAAGACTGACGCGCAGCACCGCGGCCTCGGGCCTCACCGTTTGTCCGCGTTCGCGCTTCGCGCTTCGCACCGCGCCGCGAGTCACACTTGTTGGCAAGCCGCGCCGCCCGCGCCGCCGACGCCCTGCGCACCGACTCCGAGAGTCGTTTTCGTCGCTCTGTCCCTCCCGCACCCACGGGGCGTCCCGTGCCGGTGCCAGAGGGACAGAGCCACGAAAACGACTCTCGGAGTCGGTGCTCTGCTTTGGCCCGCGCGCGCCGCGGCCGAGGAGGCCGAGACCGCGAGCCAGGTAACCAGCTGTCCGCCACCTGCAGCACGGCGCGGCGCAGCAGCAGCCTTGACGGGAATAGCAGAGCGGCACACGCAACGCGGCGCAAACGCCTTTCAGTGTCGCGTCCCTCCACCGGATTGTTCCTCGGCCGGTGCAGCGCGTCGCCACACGCGTCACACGTGTCGCGTCCGAGTGCCTCATCCCGAAGGATGTCGCTCTGTCTCTCTCGCACCTGCACGGGACGCCCCACGAGTGCGACAGAGACAGAGCGACATCCTTCGGAACGAGGCGGCGAACCGGTTGCGTCCAGTCCAGACGAGAGGCAGAGGTGACACTGCACTGCAAGCGGCCGGCGTGGTCCGCGCAGTACACCACAAAGGGCCGCTTGGCACCGCCGACGCCCACCTCGCGCCGTCGCCGTCGCACTCGCGGCGCGGCTCGGCGGCCAAAGGGCGCCGCTTTGTTCAAAGCGACGCGCTATAAATACGGCAACATTCGCGAGCGCGGTGCCCACAGTGTGCCCACGGTGTGCCCGGCGTCGGAAAGTGAAGTGGCCGCCTGGCGGTCAGGCCGTCCAGACGGCCGGCTTGGTGGCGCCGGGAACGCGGCCGACTTACAGTGGGCTTCCCCGCCACGCGACAGTGTAGGCGCCAACGCCACGCCCCGCCCCCGAGGCCGAGACCTGCCCGACCATGCCACGCGGACTCACCCAGTCACGCCAATATCTGCCAGCGGGCTCGGCGCTTCGTCGCTCTGTCTCTCTCGCACTCGTGGGGCGTGCCGGGCGCGCCGTAGGGGTGCGAGAGAGACAGAGCGACGCGGCAGCGATCCAGATAGACGCGTATTTATCTAATCGACCGCCAAAACACACTCTCACTCAAAGGCGGCCGCCCCCTCGCCTCCCTGACGGCGTCCTGACGGCATCCTGACGGCGTGCTTGTTGTTGCAGGTCCTCCCGGTCCTCCCCGACAACAGCCATGTCGATGCGCAAGCGCGCGCGGAACGGCGATGACGTCCGGGCCAACGGCAACTCGCAGCCCTCGCAGCCCGCCCTCAAACTGGTGAGTCTCGCTCCGCGGAACGGTCCACAGTGGGCCAGAAGACCGGTGGAGGCGGTCAATGCTCTAGACGCGTTTTGGGCTCCAGAGTCACTAAATGGGACTCGAACCAGACGTGTGACCCCACCAATGGATTCCTCGTTCCGAGAGCAATCCATAGGTGGGGTCACACGTTCGGTTCGAGTCTCATATAGCGACTTTGGAGCTCAAAACGCGTCCGGTGTTTTGACCGCCGCCTCCACCGGTCTTCTGGCTCACTGTCTCTGTCTCTCTCGCACCCTAACCCGGGGAACGACCGGCCGCCCGAGTGCGAGAGAGACAGCGACGACGCGCGGGATGCTGGGCTGGGCGTCGTTATCGCGAGGGGAAGCACACTAGAAAAGCTCCCCGCGTCGATAAGCCCCACAATGAACGTGTCGCCAAGCGCCCCGCACTGTAAAAACGACTCACGTTTTCTTCACTGTTTTTGCCCCTCGATGACGTCACAGTCGTCATGCACGCTGCCGCCCTTCAGCGACGAACCCGAAGCCATCAACCGGCGGGAACAGATCGACTACAGTGTGCGCATCTCCCTGCGCGAGGCCAAGAACGGCACCGGTGAGGACAAAAACCAAAACAAAAACAAAGCCGCATGTCGACCCCTCCGAGGAAAACCATCCTGGGAGCAAGGGCACTGGGAGACGGTCCTATAACTCGCAAGGGCACTGCTGGGAAACCATCCCAAATCTCGCACAAAACCAATCAAATGAAGCGGGTCTCCGTTGGGAGCAGAGTTCCCCAGCACACGCTAAAACTTTTCTCGAACCTTCGAAGGAATACCGCCGAAAATACGGCGTGAATCGCGACAGGGGTTTGCCGTCGAAGCACGGTGCGAGGCGTACGTCACGGCTGACATAACCTAGCTCTGAGTTGCATATCCGCTTTTAACCGGGACATCCTTGGACAATTTACACAACTGACCATAAAATAAGATTCTACGTGAAATTTTACGCTGCCTTGCTAGTATATTCCGTGCCCTGTTACATAAAATCCCAATTATATTTGATTTGACGAAGGAGCGTCGAACATGGACGGCAAGCCGTTCGGCGGAAGGCCGTCGAAGCACAACGGAGCCTCATGGGCCCGGGCACTCCCACCGAGCTTCGGCGGACCTTCATCGGCCGCGTCATCGGCTTTCGGCGGCGTTCGGCGGGTGATTCCACCGAACTTAGACGCGGCGCGACAGTTGTCCGCCGAAGAAGGCTATTTACGCCGAATTTTCGGCGGGGCTTTTCGAAAAAAGTTTTAGCGTGCACCCAGAAAAGACAGGACGGCGCCCTGGCGAGTTAGGATGATCCTCTTAGTTGGGGTCGATTGATTTATTTCCTTCAGACTCGAAAACTTTCTCCGGCCAAGTCGGCAGTGACCAAGTGACCCTCCGGTGACGTCACTGCGACCACCAGTGTATGGGACGGGCGTGGCTTTCTCTCATTGTTGATCGTCCTGTTGTTGTGTTCTGCAGCCCCGCGGCCCGTCAGGGTGTTCTCGGACGGCATCTACGACCTGTTCCACCAAGGCCACGCGCGTCAGCTCATGCAGGCCAAGAACCTCTTCCCCAACGTCTACCTCATCGTCGGAGGTGAGTCCGAGGCTGAGGCTGCAGGCACACTGAGAGTCGCTCTCGTCGCTCTGTCTCTCTCGCACCTGTACGGGACGTCTCACGAGTGCGAGAGAGACAGCGACGAGAACGACTCTCTCGGAATCAGTCGGCAGGCCCAAGGCCGCCGAAGGGCCCTGGCTGCCCTGCAGCAGACCGATTCCGAAAGTCGTCGCACCGTCTCTCTCGCACCCATACGGCACGCCCCATGAGTGCGAGAGAGACAGAGCGACGAAAACGACACTCGGAATCGGCCGTCAGGCTCACGCAAGAGATAAGGGCCGAGCGGCCAATCACCTCGACCCACCCATTCACGTGTTTCCCATTGATTGTCCGCAGTGAGCGGCGACGCGCAGACACACAGTAAGAAGGGCCGGACCGTCATGACGGAGGACGAGCGCTACGAGGCGGTGCGGCACTGCCGCTACGTCGACGAGGTCGTCAAGGACCCGCCATGGATCCTCACGGACGAGTTCCTGGAGAAGAACAAGGTGAGGAACCGCTTTGTCTAACAGGGAGATCAATTTCATGATATCGGCCCCGAGAAAACCTGAAGGAAAGACTATCTTGACCGGTCAGGTTGGGTGCGCCTGTTAGGACGGTTTCCCACACGGTGCACACACTGGTGTAGCCAACGAATGTGACCTCATATTCGTTGGAGTGTGAATTTTGTCGCGTTCGTTTGAACGTGAATCGGCCGTTTAAGTAGGGTGTCACATTCATTTGAACGTGAATCAACATTCAAACGTGACATCATATTAAAACGAACGTGACAAAATTCAAACTCTAACGAATATGACTTCACATTCGTTGGGTACCAGTGCAGTGGGCCAGAAGACCGGCGCCGGCGTTTTGAGCTCTAGACGTGTTTTAGCTCCAGACTCGCTAAATGGGACTCGAACCGTACGTGTGACCCCACCAACGGATTCCTCGTTCAGAGAGCAATCGATTAGTGGGGTCACACACGTTCGGTTCGAGTCCCATCTAGCGACTCTGGAGCTCAAACGCGTCCGAGATTTCGACCGCCTCCACCTGCCTTCTGGCCCACTGTGCCACGCCCTGGTGTGTTAGGTTAAGAGGATGGTCTCCTAGCGCCCAGAAAAGCTAGCATCGTTTCCTTGAGAAGTCGATATTTCTGTCATTTTGACGTTCGACGCTGACCCCCCTCTCCCTCCCGCAGATCGACTTCGTGGCCCACGACGACATCCCCTACATGTCGGAGGACGGCACCGACCTGTACCAGCAGCTCAAGGACAGGGGCATGTTCGCGGCCACGGAGCGCACCGAGGGCGTGTCCACGTCGGACATCGTCGCCAGGATCGTCCGCGACTACGACATGTACGTCCGGAGGAACCTGGCGCGAGGCTACAGCGCCAAGGAGCTGAACCTGTCATTCATGAGGGTGAGCACCACCACACACACAGACTGCGTTTTACTCAAGTCGCCAGGTCGCCCAGAATACAACGGAAGTGGCAAATATTTACGTCTTTCTTTCTCGCGGTTGCAGGAAAAGAGACTGCGGCTGGCCAATAAAATGGACGAGCTAAAAACCAAAGGGAAACGAGTCATGGAGAACATCGGTGAGAAACGAACAGACATAATCCAGAAATGGGAGGAAAAATCAAGAGATATTATTGACACATTCCTGCACTTGTTTGGAGGGGAAGGCAGATTAGTAAGTAATGCGTCCGAGGTCGAATGGGTTGTGTAGCGAGTGTAGTGGCTAGCACCTCCCCCCACCCCGCCAAACTGCAGGTTGCCCCCGGGCAGAAAAACCCGCCCCCCCCAAACGGCTTGCCGCCATCACGGGGCGTCCCGTAAGGGTGCGAGAGAGACAGAGCGACGGAACGATATCCTTGTCCGCGCCACGCTCTCGCTCACGTCCGCGTCTCCTTCTTGCAGTCTCACATCTGGAACGAAGGAAAAGGAAGGCTGATGCAAGCCTTGTCGCCGCCGTCTAGCCCCGGCCGGCCCAACTTCGACAGCGACGAGGACGACGACGACGACCACCACTTCACCAACGGGTGAGTAGGCCTCGGCGCAGAGCATGCTCGATCCACTACCTGCTTCACAGAAAAAGGGAGCATTTGTCCCAATGGGGAACTGAACTCTTGAACGAGCTCAAGCTCTCAGACACAGATATCTCTTCTCAAAATTAAAACGTTCTAGAGTCAGAAAAAGGTTGAGGCTCAGGCACACTGGTAAAACTACAGCGCAGTTGTACGCATAGTGCATCTACGCTCGAGGACCTAACGCTCCTCTTGAAGTGCCCATGCGTCTAGATAAGAGGAAAAGAGTGCACTCTTCAAGAAGGACCTATGAACTGTACGCTTTAGGAAAGACTGCACTGCGTTGTGTGGCACTCGTACACAACAGCGTATCGACTGTGGGATTTCCTATGAAGTTACGCTGTTCTGGCAGATGATCACCCAGTGTCACCACTGTACAGCAACCGTTCTAAAACGCCTTTTTCCTCTGCAGGACCTCTTCGCCCCCGCGCAAGGCGCTGCGGCGGGACCGCAGTGCCGGCGGCAGCGGCCGGGCGGCGCGCGCGGTGCGCTCGGGCCAGCCCAGCTTCCCCTACGACCTGCCGGAGGAGTTCTCGGACGACGACGTCTCCGTCGTGGACCTGGAGCCCAGCGCGCCCAGCGCCGCCACCGCCGCCACCAAGGCCACCAGTGCGGCCGGCGCGCACTGACCCACCCACTCCCTCCTCGAAAAAGACCGAGACCCACTGTCCTGCCGCTAGCAACACACTGCTAGTGGTGGCGGCGGGGTAACGCTCATACTTTGTGATATTTATAACCACTGATTTGTTTTTAAGGACTGTCTGAATAAACTGTCATTTCATTTATTTCAAACACCGGTCCGGTCCTTTTTCTTCGCGCCTCTCCGCGCCAAAAAGCAACAAAGGAGAAAGACGACGGAGGGATTCCTAAAGCACTAACGTTTGAGATCGGCCTGCAGGCGGCAACGCAACAACCAGCGCGGTCATTGCAGCGGGTCAGTACCGCCAGATGCGGCGCCGCGATAAACCTCGACAACGCGACGCCTCCCTGGCGCCAGGAGAGAGAGAGAGAGAGAGAGAGAGAGAAAGAAAGAAGAGAGAAAGAGGAAGAGAGAAGAGAGAGAGAGAGAGAGAGAGAGAGAGAGAGAGAGAGAGAGAGAGGCGCCGATGGCGTGCGTGCAGGCATACGTGCGGCCCCCCGCTCCGGACTGGACTGGCCACCACCGCTGCTAGGACTAGGCGCACGCCCACCCCACCTTTTTGCTTCCACGAATATTGCTGCATGTTTATCGCGTGCCGACTGACGCAAGCGGAGCAGGCGAAGCAAGGCGGGACCCCGATGGCGGTTATCAGGCGCCGCGGCCAAAACAGCGGCGTCGCTCCGTCTCGCTCGCCCTCGCGGGACTTCCCCCAAGGGCGCGAGAGAGACAGAAGCGCCGTCCCGGAATCCAAGTGCAGTGTCCCTCCCCGTCGGCCCGTCGGAGAGCGAAATGATTCCACAGTGGTCGTGCGTCCGTTCGCCACGACTGCCGCTCTACTGTTTCGTTTTTTATGGCTTTTCGATGGCGAAAGCCGGCCGCCGAGGCACGATTGTTTTTCTCCCCGCGGGGTAAAAAGCCATAAAAAGCGAGTTTGAACGCCCGCCCCGCGCCCCGCCATAGGCCGTTGGCAAGGTCGTTACCGGGGCACGTGAGGAAGCGTTTCAGGTGATCGGGGATGGGCATGGGCAGTGGTGGAAGGGCGGGCCGCCTGACTGACCCTCCTGACCCCGTTGGGCGTGCGTCGTTCCCCCGCTCCGTCTCTGTTGTTTTTTTGGGTTTTCGTCGGCCCCCCGCCTTGTTTTCTGGGGTCCTGGGTTTGCCGGCCCGCCCCGCCCCCCCTGGCCTTGGAAGGCTTTCCCAGTGGGTTTCGGGAAGGGATCAGGCACGGTCCCCTCCATCCCCCTCTTAACCCCCGGGTGCTAGCCTTTTGCTTGGGCTTCTTTCTAAGTTTAGAGTTTAAGATTTAAAAGAGTTAAGAGTCTAAGAGTTAAGATTTTAATGGTTTAAGAATTACAGAGTTTAAGATTAAGAGTTTAAGATTTTTTTTTTTCTTAAAAAAAAAAAAAAGAGAAAAAAAAAAATGTTTTGCGTCCACTGATTTATAATCTGTTACTTGATTAAGGATAGACCATCGGTCCCTGACAAGCCTCAGTGCTTAGGGACAGTTTCTAGTTTTTTGGCAAAATGTGAAAGTATATGTTAAGTGTATTTTGTTTGTACCTTGTTTTCCCTTTCACATTGTAAATGTTCAATTTTTCTTTTTGACCTGTACTGCCATGGACCAAGGAATCAATAAACTGAAATTGAATTGAATTGGGCCGCCGCGCCCTCCGCGGGTCTGTCTGTCTGTCTGTCTGTCTGTCTGTCTGTCTGTCTGTCTGTTGTCTGTCTGTCTGTCTGCCCGTCTGTTGTCTGTCTGCTGTCTGCCCGCCCCCCGGCCACGTCATTTAAAGGGAACAGGGTTTTCGTCCCCCCGGGCGGCGCCCTTGGGGGGCCGCGCGCCGCGCCCTCCCCCGCTTCGGCCCCCTCCGCCCTGCCGCTGTTCCGGAGTCGTTTTCGTCGCTCTGTCTCTTTTCCCGCTTTTGGGTTGTCCTCGGGTTTTCGCGGCGTTTGGGGCGTCTGGTCGTCTGCTCTGCCGCCCTGTCCGCGCGGCTGCCTTGCCGCGCGCTGCTTCTTCTTTGGGGTCCCCCGGGCCGGCCCCCCGCTCAACGAAGGCCGGGGGTGTGCGGGGTGGGGGGCGGGCGGACGCCTCACCCGCTGGCCCCCGCCCGCCGACTGATTCCGAGAGTCGCTTTCATCGCCATGTCTCTCTCGGACTGCTCCTTGGGCGTTTCGTACTCGTGCGAGAGAGACAGAGCGACGAAAACGACTCTCGGCATCAGTCTGCAGGCTGCCAGGGGGCCGAAAGTCAGGCCAGGAAAGGAGGGCCAGCAAGAGGCTGCCAGGCATACGATCGTGTGTGGTTAGCCCGTAATGGTAATGGTAATGGCGAGGCGGGCCGCCGGCGCGCACGGCTGCATTCGGGTTGCCTGCTCGCACGGCGCTCGGGCCGCTCCGCAGCGCTCCGCCGCTCCACCCTCAAAGACCCGAGACAGCGGTGCTGCTGCACTGGAGAACTGATTGCGAGAGGCGTTGCCGTCGCTCTTGTCTCTCTCGCACCCATACGGGACGCCCCATGAGTGCGAGAGAGACAGACCCTCGGAATCAGTCTGCCGCGCTCCATTCAGCGATAGTGATTCACCATGTCCCCCATTCATCGGCGTCGCGCCGATAGCGGGCCGAGGTCCTGGCCTCTCTCTCTCTCTCTCTCTCTCTCTCTCTCTCTCTCTCTCTCTCTCTCTCTCTCTCTCCTCCATCTCTCTCTCTCCTTTTCTCCTTCTCTCTCCCTCCTCTCTTCCTTTCTCTCTCCTCTCTCTCTCTCTCTCGCGCGCGCGCGTGGCGTGGCGTGGCGTGGGGCCGCGAGAGAGACGGAGCGACCGCGCGGCTGGCAGTGCAGTGGCCGGACGACGGGACAAAGTTCAGAAGAGCGAGGCCGGGAAGGTCGCCGTCTGCAGCGCGTCTGCACCACGGCGCGTCGTAATTCGCTGCAAGTGTGCAACACCCGCTGCTGCCGAAGCGTCGCATCCGTCTCTCTCGCACCCCAACGGAACGCCGCACGAGTGCGAGAGAGACAGCGGCGACGGGATCCATTCTTCGGGCGCGGCGCTCGCGACGTGCTTCTTTTGCTCTAACTAGCATAATAGGGACTGATGACTGAAAGTGCTAAAGTAGTGCGGCGCCGCTGCCGCCGCCCCCGCCTCCTTCTTCGCGTCGCAGTCGTACAGTGGGCCGAATTCCGAGAGTCGTTTTCGTCGCTCTCTCTCTCGCACCCATGGGTCGCCCCGTACAGGTGCGGGAGGGACAGAGCGACGAAAACGACTCTCGGAATCAGTCTGCAGCGGAGTGTACTGGGACCCACAAGGACGCCGCGGCCCCGCCGTCGCCCGCGAGAGGCTGTCGCCGTGACCCTGACGGGGCGCAAGGTCCCGGCCGCGGGAAGAAACTCTCTCAAATATTTACAACACCTGTTCGAGGAGAGTAAGTTAGAAAGAGAGAGGGGCGAGAGAGGAATGGGAGAGGAGGGAAGGGGGAGAAAGAGAGAGAGAGAGAGAGAGAGAGAGAGAGAGAGTTTAGTTTTTAAAATTATTTATTGGGGGGATTTTGTTTTTAACAATTAGGGCCAGGACATGAGTTCAATTTTGTCACAAAATATGCATGCAGTATTATTGTTTTTTTTTTTAGTGTTTATGTTGTGCTGCAGTGTTTACATTTTTGTGAGCTTAGATAAAATTTTAGAATTTACAGAGTATGATATTTTTTAGTAACTAAGCAATACCGAAATATACATAACATGTTTTAGATAATTTAATAAAAGGAAGAGAAAAGATTTTGATTCTATACAAACAAAAAGACATTTTTAAGAATATGTAAAATTTACAATGACAAGTTAACACTTTAAACATTTTAGAAGATTAAAATTTACTTATTTTTACATCACAGTTTTTGGGAGGATAATAACATTTGAAAATTTTTGCTATGAAAGAAGGAGCTAACTTATTAATTTATACATCTAGAAAAAACATTTGGGAAAATGTTTTGTTAAAAAAATTTAAAGGGAAAAAAAAATATAAGTCATAGTTATGGTATAAGAAATTACAGGTGCTGATTGAGGGCTTGATTAATTAGGAAAGTCTTAGAGAATGTTTCTTCAGTTTGGGTGATCTTGGCATAAGATTGTTGGATCTTGAGTCTGAAGTCCATTCTTCTTTGGAATATTTGAAGGTAGGCAGGAGGTGGTGGTTCGGGTTTCTTTGATTCTATCCATGTATGTATAATAGATAGTACTCTTGACAAGTGATAAAATAAAGTTTGACAGTCTTGATTCGGGTTTGTACTTGGAAACCCTATTATAGCTTCTTGTAAAGAGAGGGGGGGTTTGGGGTTTCCTTTTATAGCACATATTTTCTCAGAGCATAGTTCCATAATGGAGCGGCTTCTTTGCAACGGAAGATCATATGCATTATGTTTCCTTCTTGTTGAGTGCACCATGGACAATAAAGTTTTTCAATAATATTCCACTGATGTAGCTTTTTTGGAGTAGCTAAAGCATCATATAACAATCTCCAGCAAACATCAGAATCTCGTTTGTCAATTGGGTGATTGTATAGGGACATCCAGTTAATCTTCTTATTTATGATTTTTGATTTTCCATTTACTTGAGGCTTTGATATTAATGGTTGAAGACTTGCAAGGTACATTATTTTTTTTTGTTGAGGGAAAAGTTGAAAAGCTTTTCTTGATCTTGCCGTCTAAAGCTGAATTTTTTTGGGCCCATGCTCTTCATTAGACTGCTGAATTTTTATCTTCTTGCTGAAATGGATCTTGTTTTGATTGTAGTTGTAGCTCAATCTTCTTTGCGTTGAGATTGTGTACTGTTGGAGGTTGAGTGTTTCCCAGGATCCATCTTCTTTTAACATTTTTTCCAATGTGGTGTGTCCACATTTTTTCCAATCAGGGATTTTTTGAAAATTTGTTTGATCACTTAGCATGCTTCCATAGAGTGGCATTTTTCTCAGTACATTTATGGGGAAAAACTGTAGTGTTAAAAATTTGGACCTATATTGTGCCATGCTATCAGTAGACTTTGATAGAAGGGACCCAAAGTTGCACATATCTTTTTCTTGCTTGACTTGACAGAAGAATAGTGATGGAGAAATGTCTCCATACAAAGAAAGATTGTAGTGATGAAGTAAATGGTTGAGTCTTTACTATT